ATTATTCTTTTCATTTTTTAACAAAGCAGTAATAGATATACCTGTCATTATAAAGCCATGCTAGAAACTCGGTAGATCCCCAGTATGTGTCAGGAGCTTCATAATCCCCGTCAGACCATACAATATCAGGTTGGTATTTATTAACTATCTCATAAAGGGCAGGCATAGCTTTAGTCTAAATATAATGAACAAAATGTACATATATAAAATTGATATAGGCCACTAAACAGAAGCAATTTCAGATAAACACACCGACATTGAATGTTAAAAATTATCAGAAGCACCGATACATCACCAGTATGTGTTGATGATTCGTGTACAAACTTGAAAACTAAATGTGAGGATAGCATTGCATACATGAGCTATTATACATTATCACATATTTGTCACAATTACATCAAAGGAAGCTTTCGTCGACCTCAGTGAATGAAACAAAGCCTTGAACTCCGCTCTGTCACAACGATTTTATAGCTTTATTGAAGCCACCAGGGCGTCGAAGTAAAATTCATACGAAATAATATTAAGTTATAGAGGAAATAATATCAAGTTATAGATACAATGCCTAACTTTACCTCAGTTTTACCCTGAATTAAATTTCATCGAACGTCCGATGTGTTTAATTTATTATTTCCACATAAATTTAGATGTGAATCTCGGGATTATTTTGTAGTTATTTTATTTTGTTATTTTAATGTTGACTGTGAAAACATCAATTTACTAACTAATACTTACCCTAACGAAATCATATGACTTCCAGTTATTCGCTTTATCATTAATGTACAGAGGGTTGAGCCATTCATACAGACAGTGATACAAACCGAAATGTAGATTTGTTTTTGTCCTTATGGCTGTCATAAGTTCTCCTAGAAGAAAGATAGACACTCAATTAGATTATTTGGAAAACTATTTTTGGTTTCCGTTATCAAGTAACGCGGTCATTATGATACACATCAAGAAAACGAACTTTCGATACTGAGCGAAAAACGTTTTTATATTAAGACTGTGATTGACAAAAAATACACCCCCATGAATGTTCAGTCTATAGGCATTTTCTGTTGTTATTTACATTTTTATAGGCATTTGTAACCGATGACGTCAAATGTTCCACGTGAGAAGGGTAATGATACCCAAAGCCCTATACATCTATATATTTCTTTGATGACGCCATGGAAGTGACGACAGTGTTAAGCCACAATGGCTAGTGAAATCGGGCTGTAACGATTTTGCTTATCAACTGGTAAAGAAAGCAAAAAAAAGATAGCTTGCCAGGCAATATACGCCCACTGGCAGTTTTGATTTATGAAATATTCAACCTTCAGCGCGGGACTGATTAATAAAACCAAGTTTTGTCAAAATGCAACAAGAATCATGCCTTTTAGTGTTTAAGAGCTAACTTTGAAAGAGTTTTCAAGAACAAGGGCAATAACTCATACTAAATATTTTTCAATTCTTCTGATTTTCAATAGGGTTCATCCTAGGGTGATTACGAACATTCACACCAAGTTCAAAACCCTTCAAGAATTGTGCCTTCTAGAGTGATAACGAGCTAAAGATTGAACGCGTATTCAAAAGCAAGGGCAATAAATCATACTAAATATTTTCGATTTTTCTGATTTTCAATAGGGTTCATTCTTGGGTGATAACAAACATTCATGCGAAATTTCGTCAAAATCCGTTAAACGAGCTAAAGATTGAACGCCAAGGGCAATAACTCATACTAAATATTTTTCTGATTTTCAATAGGGTTTAACCTTGGGTGATAACAAACACTCATGCCAAGTTTTGTTAAAATCCATCAAGAATTGTCCCTTCTAGAATGTTTACAAGATAAAACTTGAATGCGTTTTCAAGAACAAAAGCAATAACTCATACTAAATATTTTCGATTTTTCTGATTTTCAATAGGGTTCATCCTTAGGTGATAACAAACATTCATGCGAAATTTCGTCAAAATCCGTTAAACGAGCTAAAGATTGAACGCCAAGGGCAATAACTCATACTAAATATTTTTCTGATTTTCAATAGGGTTTAACCTTGGGTGATTACGAACATTCACACCAAGTTTCATCAAAATCCATCAAGAATTGTGCCTTCTAGAGTGTTTACGAGCTAAAAATTGAACGCGTTTTCAAGAACAAGGGCAATAACTCATACTAAATATTTTTCTGATTTTCAATAGGGTTTAACCTTGGGTGATAACAAACACTCATGCCAAGTTTCGTCAAAATCCATCAAGAATTGTGCTTTCTAGAGTGTTTACGAGCAAAAAAATGAACGC